GTCTTGATGGTTGAGTCAATGAAAGAGTTTCTCTCTGTTCTAAAGAGAAAACAGAATATGAGGAAAAATCAAACAGCAATGCAGTACGCAGTAGGCCATGAGCCATGACAAGAGCAGAGAACAGATTCAGGGATACCTCCGATGCGATGAAGGAATGTCATAAGATATGAAAAAACATGGGAAAAGACAGTCATGGAAAGATGCTCGACCAAGCGCTTGAAAAGGATTGAGAAAGAAGCCGAGAATGTAAAAAGGCTTGTTTCGGATGTGTCAAACCAGAACGATTCTTCAAGAGACTTCCAAAAAAACTCGAATGTAAGTTGGTATTTCCAAAAAAGTTGGTCTGATACTCACCGTTGGTTGTGGTGTATTCGAAGTTGAAGCAGCGACTGCAGCAGCTGCGGCTGCGGCAAGCTGAGCTCCACTTTGCTGCTGCTCAATAATGGAAACAGACGGTGGACGGAAAGGAGTTCCAGCTGTTATGGAACCTTTCACTAGACCAGAAGCGGTCGATGGCTGCTCCACAGCAATCAGTGTCTCTTCCTTTGGCTTAATCTAAATTACATCACTCAAGGCAGTTCAATGAGTTTAGGCATAAATACTCACATCTGCCGGTTGAGGCTGGCTGACGGTGGTGGCAGAGGAAGTCGTAGGCACCTCTGTTACGTCCATGTCAACTTCACTCGGTTGAGTTGTGACTGTCGTTTCGGGCACGTCCTGCGTGTCCTCTTCCATTGGCACATCATCGTCATGGCGCTCTTTCTCATCTTCTTCGTAGTCTTCTTCCTCCTCCTCTTCTTTCTTATTCAGCGACTCGAACTGGATGCGGCAGTCTTCGGCGGTTCTTCCCTCCATTTGTTCCGAAATGCTGTTCCAGTCGTGGCCAAGTTGGGATACGAGCTCTTGTAGACGAGAAATCTGAAAATGATAGCGTCCTTGCGCATTTTACAGTTTAATGATGAGTAATTTTGAAGAAAATGGAGAACAAATGCATATCCCACCTCTGCGGATTGCCATGTCTGCTGAAGTTCCATTTCGAACTTAGCCATCTCTTCGTCGAGTTCACCCGCGAACAACTATAAACGCAAGAATATTAGCCAGTACAAATAACTTCTAACCCCGCCAAATAAAATCTTGAGAGCAAAACTTACCAGATCAAGCTTCTTAGATATCCTTTTGAAGCACGGACCACAGCATTTTACAATCTCTCGTGGTATGGACATGTGGGCAAGTATAAAAGCACGTTGACGATCATCCATTTGACGCCATTTAGCTGGCATTGGTTTTGTCGCTTTCACTTTTCGCTTGCCCGAAGCGCAAACTTTCACCATACAACGGCTAAATGTCATAGCAACATGATATGTAGAAAAGTCAAGAGAATAGCCAAAGTTCACCCGCTATTCCTAATTTTCAACACTTCATCTTTGCATTTTGTGCAGATCTTGCAATCAGGACCATGCTTCTTCGGATCGATGCCTAAATAGCAAACTTCCGGCAAGATACTATTATAAACAACTTCAAGAATGTTGTAGTTTTGTTGTTCTTTTTTATTGTTTTTGAAATAAAAGCGCAAAGAGTGAATGGATAGAAAGATCAAGCAGACTCAAGCCTCCACAGCCTAACTCCGTAAAACTATTCCATGTGGATGACAAAAGAGAAAAAAAAACATGTGAAAATGGAAGGAAAGTGGTAATATATGCTTTCCTGAGGCAACTGAACAATTTAAGGGCTAATTTACGACCTCAAAAAGAATTCTCATCAAACTAATTACGGACATTTACTTCCTAAAACGAGGTTCACTCCACCCAAACTCGATTACAAAAAAGGAAATACAAATGCAATTGACTGAGTTATTTATGAAACTTATTCAAATTACCACTTGCATGTTGCACTCTAAACTTGTTGCAAGTGACGTAACAAAGTACTTTTCCTGTCCCTCGGGTGAAAAGCGTCGACTGACGCACGTGTATGATTTCAATGCATCAATTCTGCCGTACAAAAACGCTTATATAAACAGAGCAAAACCCTCCCTTGAGAAACAAATATCATATGCTAGTAAACCGATTAATGTCTCTCTAAAAAACTCCAAGGATATCAAGATGATATAATGCTTGTGAAAGCAAAAACCACATTTGTAGAAAGCAGTTGAAATAATTAATAGAAGACTTACCGTACAACTCATAGCTAGATCTTGTCAAAATTCGCCCAGGATTTGTCGTAGGATCGATTCGAAGTTGACATACAACACATTTGCTATCGTGGGATGCACTCGCTTAATTAGATGCATTAAGCCATTTATCCCCAACGTTCCATATAAATTTGCTCCCTCGGCAATATAAGACGAGAATATCAGTGTAACTTGTTTTCGTGGCTGCAATGGGCGCCAAAGAACAACCAAACCATAAATCATGTGTACTTTGGCGTGGCAATATGTGCGTGTGAGAAAAACAAGAAACTGGTAACTCTTACACTGGGGATCCGAAAGCGCATCTTGGGGCACTAATTGATACATAGCGAGCTCTTCTGGTGTAGGCATTGGTGGTGGCTAAAACGAAAACGATTTGAAATTCAGATCCAAAACAGACTGCAAATATACCTTGTAGGTTTTTGCTAATTTCCGTTTTCGTTTTGGAATCAGCGCCTTGAAGTTCTCCTTCTTTTTACACAAATAATAATATAGCACGCAATCCTTGACGGTCTAAAATGCAGTTACTGACAAAAAAAAA